CTCAAGCAGCAGAGGCTTTCTAAATATTAGTGACTTTAACTTGAGTAAGTATTTCCATTTCCCACTCCTTAGGGCTTCAGAATCCCAGAAGGCTACTTTTTTCACCAAGATTTTTACATGGCTACTTTTTGGATCATGCTGTTCTTAATGAGGTAAGTGCTAAAAAAAAAAACCTTTCAGATTCTTAAAAAAATCTCTCTAAATGGCAAGATTTTCAGACATTTAACCTAGCAAATGAGTTTTACAGTGACTGCAAATTCAGATTCTGTCACCGATTGTTACACGGCTTTGTCAGCATTTCCTTCCTCTAATCCTGTAGTGAACTTGCTGACCTCTTGCCTTCTTGAGTTAGTGCCATCTTTTTTTTTTTTTTTTGTAGTCTCAGCTATAAAAACATGTTAGCTCTGGCCACCTTCTCCTCCTAAGAGGGGTGGAAATTAACTGTGTTAGAATTGCCTCTCCACAACTATTCCAAGTATGGTGAGGCACTTTACCTTAAAATTCTGACACCAAGGATTGTACATTCTAGGCACATCTGCTGTCCTAGTTAAAGGCACAATTAACTTTGGACCTATGATACTCTGTTATACTCGATTTTTACATGTCATTTTCTCCTAGCCACTTGAAAAAGGGTCTTATGTAAAAATATCAATGAGGGATACAACTTCCAGCTGGATCTAAAATCTGGTGAAAAGATACGTACTTAAACTTACCCAGTCCTAATAGTTAAACCAGGCACCACTGGCTCACACACGTAATCCTAGCTACTCAGGAGGCTGAGATCAGAGAACCACAATTTGAAGCCAACTCAGGGAATAAAAAATCAAGACTCTATCTCCAATTAACTGGCAAAGAGCTGTACTGGAGGGATGGCTCAAGTGGCAGAGGGCCAACAGTGAAAGCCCTGGTACCAGAGTTGAAAAAAAAAATCAATTAATAAAAAGCTAAAAGCTCCAAACCCCAAACCTGGCAAGCCTCCCAACAAAAATTGCCCCTTGTTCTGTACCAATACATTCATTTAGCTGTCTCAGCTCATTATGTGGTCATCCAACCCTCTCAAAAAAAAAAAAAAAAAAGCAAAGGCTAGGGTGTGGCTCAAGTGGCAGAGCTCTTGATTCCCTGGCATGTGAGGCCCTGAGTTCAATTTGGGGAGGGGCCCAATACTACTCCCCCACTGAAGGCTTGAACTAAATTCAAAAGTATCTCTGGGTTTTTAAAAACTACTGTCTTAAACGTGTCGGCCTGGTAGGCGCTTTTTTTTTTTTTTTTTGGTCTGGTTGTGGGGCCTGAACTCTGGGCCTGGGTGCTGTCCCTCAGCTCTTCAGCTCAAGGCGAGCGATCTACTTACTGCTTGAGCCACAGTGCTACTCTGATTGGTTAGCTTAAGCACCAAAGTACAGTTCGCAAGTTTGCTCAGAGGCTGGGAATGTAGGGGATGTAGTAGCCTTGCCTAGCATGTACAAAACCTGGGTCCCATTCCCAGCACCAAAAAACCCAAGTTGGAAAAAAACAAAAACAAAACAAAAAACACCGAAGTTGTCTTAGGACCAGGGGCTCAGGTGGCACAGGGCATATGAAATCTAGGATTCTGTACTCTGCTGTAGAAGCCAACTGATATATGTGCCAAGAGAAGGGGGTTCCAAAGAACTTTGAAAAGATTCTTGGTACTAACAGTAAACCCTTAAATGTGCCTTCTAGCAGGCCTTTCTCAATCCTATTATGTAATCCTCTGAAGAAATGTCTACCACTCTCCCCACTTTAGATAAACAGGCTGAAGGAAATCTAGACACTTTCCCAATACCGTCCAGCTAGTCAGTGGAGCCAGGATTTGAACACAGGTTGTGAATCACTCTTCTATATCCCTCTTAAATGCAATGATGTCCTGAAGCTTTCTTGTGCATCAGGCTGTTTGTTTCCATTTATTAAATCTTTCTAACATTCCTATGTGGTAGGCTTCTCATGTCCTCTTTATAGTTGGAAGAAAAGTCCATGATGCTTTACATTCTGTACTGTCATAAAGCAGTTGCTTCTGTCTGTGTGATATCCTGTCAACTGTCCCCTCTGTATTCCAGGCTCTCCATTTGCCTTTCTTCAATCTCTTCCAGCTCTAACCACTTAAGTATTTCCTTGTCTCACTGACACAGACTATCTGATCCACTTCTATCTCTAACCAGTACTTCCCACACAAGGGACATTCTTAAACCTGACTATTGTCAATGTTCATCCAAAAAGAACTTTCCTTTCTCTCCCATCAACCTTAGATAAAAATAGAATTTGGTACATTTCTGTGTACCAACTTTCACATACACCCACGAAAGCACTCGTGGTATTCTGTATACCAGTATGCTATAGGATGGTTATGAGTTAGACCATCCGTTAAGTCCCAAAGTTCAACAAGTAAGACCACATATGATAGTGCACACTTGTGTTTGTTGTCACACCTGTAATCTCAGCTACTTTAGAGACAGTGTGGAAAGATTGTGGTCTGAGGACAGCATACCTAACAGTGGAACAGTCTCAGCTACTTTAGAGACAGTGTGGAAAGATTGTGGTCTGAGGACAGCATACCTAACAGTGGAACAGTCTCAAAAAATAAAAATAAAAAACCCCCACTCAGTCAGTTGTTAAAGGTCAACAACATAATCTAAGGCTGTTTTCTCAACCATAAAAAAAATGCATTAGCAACGTGTCTTTTGCTTTATGAAAAGGTTGGAGTGGAAATAAGAACAGACTGGCAACTCCTGAAAACATTAACATAGGGATTCAGAAATTACTTCAGCCAGGCACTGGTGGCTCACACCTGTAATCCTAGCTACTCAGATCTACGGATTGCTGTTCAAAGCCAGCCCTGAGAGGAAAGATGGTAAAACTCTTACCTCCAATAAACTACTCAAAAATGCCAGAAGTGGTGTGGTGCTGTCACTCAAGTGGTAGAGAGTTAGCCTTGAGCAAAAAAAGCTCAGGGACAGCACCCAGGCCCAAAGTTCAAGCTCCAGGACCAACAAAAGTTAAGATTATGTTTGCATAGTTTATTAAATGAAGAGTATGTATAAGGTGTTAGGAATGGAACACAGGACTTTAGGCACTACTGAACTACAATGCTCAGCCTGCTACTCTTTGGAAATGCTACCCTAACACGTATTTTAACACCTGTAAATTAGGCTTACTGTTCTATAATGTTCCTGATTTAGGTCTGTTACAAGTTTTAATTCACTGTGTTTTTCTGATAAGACAAAGGACTCTCTCTCATTCTTTAATTTCTTTTTTTGACACATTTGCAATGTAAATCTTGCCCACAATGGATTTTAAGTTCAGTAGTTGTGCTACAAGATTAGTTCCTGATGACAACTGACAGAAAAACCAAACAATTCTGGGGAGGCAGGTCACACCTGGAATTCTAACAGGAGATTGAGATCTGATGATCAAGGATGGAAGCCAGCCTAGCAAGAAAAGCCTGTGACATTTTATCTCCAATAAACTACAAAAAAAAAAAAAAAAAAAAGCCAGGCTGTGGCTTGTAGAAGATGCAAGAAGATGAGCAAAGGCAACTCAGGTCCCCAGTTCAAGCTCCAATTACCCTCCTCCCCACTCCCCACCCGATACAGCTGTCCTAATCAGACCAGACTCCTAGTTCCTGATGCTGTTGCTCTTCAGTAAGTCCTTAAATGGGAATGAAGAGCTGTTCAGTTTCTATTTTACTAAGATGAAGATCAGAGATGAGGTTTCATTTTGTGCCATCTAAGACAGACACACCTGTAAGACAGACACTAAGCTAGCAGTGCCAGTGTGGTATGCTTGATGCTTCCAGTAGTGTTCTTGAAAGGCTAAGGAGATCAATCTCCTGAACAGCTTTGAGTCCAGATGAATGTTGAGTAGGAGGAGAAGACTTACACCTGGATCCTTCCTTGCCTGTACCTTCCTTTGAGAGCGTAATTCAAGGCCTACACATCAGCTCAGGACAACCACTAAGAGCCCCAGGCTAAAAGGGAGGGAGGCAGGAAAAGTGCCAGACAGGGAAAGGATCGACATGTCCAGTGTTAATTTGACAAGTTAATCTCAATCATTTCAAAATTAACATTAAAAAATTAGCTTCTGGGGGTAGGAGGTATGGCTCAGGTGGTAAAGCACCAGCCAATGAGTAAAAGAATCAGATACAGAGGTCCAGGTCCCAATCTGAGCTAGGAGTGTACCTCAGTCGTAAAAAACGTATCATAATGTATTTTTATCATGCCTAATGCCCTAGGTTTGATCCCCTATACCAACCAAAATTTTAAACGCCAGAGAACAATGGCACCTCACTCTCCCACCTGGCTTGTTTGGGCAGGATCCTTTTCCGATTTCTATCTGTAAAGTAGAATGTAGGTAATTCCTACCCAATAGAGTCCAAAAGATGCTTGAATAATAAAGGGCAAGCACTTCAGAGGCATACCATACCAAAAGAAGTAAAAAGCAAATCACAAAAACACTGGAAGACACAAATCAAAATTTACATTAAAGAAGCTAACTTATAAAAAGTACAACGTTCCAATTTATATGAAAATGTTTTAATGGTACTGAAACTTAAATCAGAAAAATTATTTTTAATAAAAAGTAAAAAAGACAGAGCAGTAAAATGAAACAAAGCACAGTGGCTAATAGTTATTCAGACATTTATCAATGCCAAACTTCAAATTTCTTTATCACATACTCCAAATTCTACTGATTATTCAACATGCAATATGGTACACAGATTTCTTTTTGTGGCTGCTGTTTGTTTTAGGACAGGATCTCTCATGTACCCAGACTAGCCTGCAACTCACACTCTTACTGCCTCCCAAGTGGAAATACCATATGTACCAGAAAGCCTTACACTTACCTTTATGAAGGCATCTGACCAGAAAGCCAAAAAATAAATAAATAAAAAAGAAGAAAAAAAAAAGGACAATTATGTAGCTCACTTCGTCAGTAAGCGTCTAGAAAGTAACAAAACTCGCAAAGATAAAGCTTTTTGGAAATTTAAATAAAGCAAATTTTACATTTTATTAAATCAGCAAATATAATCACCTGGGTATAATTTTATTAGAAAAAATGATTAAAAAAGAAAAAGAAAAAACAAAATGCACCTCAGACTAGAATACCATAACAAAAGTTTTGTGGAAGCTGCATTTTATTTGAAAATCCACCCATTTTGCTAACATACATTTTAATATTGTAAACAAAAATATAATCTGCAGAGACAATGCAACAAGTATGCTTAAACTCATGTACAGAATTGCTTTCCTACAATGAACTGTCCTCCTTAAGGCCCCTCTCAACCCAAACGTATGATGTATTTACACAAAGCACCGATCAACAGTGCAGTTTAATTCTTCAATAACTAAACTCTTGGCTAGACATTAACTTTAAAGATACTATTTCCCCTTATTTAAAAGGTACATGATCATAACATGGCACAAGCCAAATAAAAAGTTCAAGAATTTTGTTTCCCTCCCCTCCCCAATAACATCTCCTAGAGTTTTACTGAAAAGAAGGAAAGTCTTGAAGTGAAAGCAATTCCTCACATTCATTTTGGAAAGGCCCTAATGTCAAATGGAAAATAATGACATGCCAAGCACAAAGCAGTAAAGATCCTTCCCAATGCACTAATGCTGAATTTTATATGTAGTGCTTTTCCTAGTCAGTGAACTGTTCCCTTGCAAAATCCCAGGCACAGAATTGACTATAAGGATTAATGCATTTATAATGCTTCCCTAAATCCCATAGAGACTGAGAATTCTTAGGATATCCAGATCTATGGATTTGCCTTAAAATATTTAGTGCTCTGTATGTCAGCTAAAAAGCATTCTGAATCAGATTCATTCTTGTGGATAAAAATCAAACATACTGTGTACATCCATACTCATTTTCATAAGGAGGTTTGATACAATATTAATGTTACGTAAAACTGATAATCATAAATAAATACAAATACTTAAGGAATGTCTACTGCAAACTGAATATAAAATTTTTAAAGGAAATGTTAATTTCAGTTATGGTTTCGGTGTCTGTGAGGACTTGAGAAAACAAAGATAATGCATAATTAAGAATTATGATTTTGATCCCCCAGCAAGTCCTGTTAAATACAGTAAAGGACACAGCTCTTCTCTCCAGGCAGCATTTCCAAATACAAATTTCACACTTTCCAAATAAGGGCTTTTCTTGGTAGGTTACTGGTTATGGGTATTAATAGGAGTTGAAAGAACTGAAAGGTTAGTCACCAAAAAGACAGATCTTAGTCTTAAATCATGGCAATTCTTGGCTTTATAAATTGTATTGATAACTTTCTCCTATAAACTAGTCCCAATTTCCTTCATGGGCCTTCACTGGGTACTGTAGCATTCTAATGGAAGAAGAATTTAAGAGACAGCAGTTTAAATTTTGCTGGAAGTAAGGATTCGCCACTTGAGCACTTGTCTTTTTGGAATAACTCCATTCTCTTCCATCTAGTTACATAAATTGTATCTGGAAAAAAAAAAGTATGTGTTTAATTAATTCACGGTACTGTAGGATGTGTTCTCACAAATAAAAATGCCTTGCAGCCATATAACTGGATCGGAAGTATGTGCAACATGCTTATCACAAACCCTGATTACAAGTCAGTCAGTATTATCAGCTTCTTACATGCCACAACTCAGTACTGTGAAGCAGTTATAGAAACTTCCTTAAAATGTTTTTATTATTGTCTTTAAGTAGTTGTACGAGGGAGTTGCCACTTAACAAAGTAGTTTATGAACGCAATTCATCTTGCTCAATGTCAGAACTTTCAATACTTTTCTAAGGACTAAAAACCAACCAGCAGCTTAGGGATAAGTGAAGAAAGATTTATTTTTTTCCATGAGAGGTTCCAAACATCTATTCAGAAACAAATATTCCATGTGACATTTCATTTGGAAAAACAAAATGCAAACTATTATTTCCATATGATATAAAATTAGAGATAACAGAAGAGTAATCTTAACATGGACTAATTTCTTTACTAATAAAAATTAAAAATCTGAAAGATCTATGAAGAAAAACTGTACAGTTGGGAGTCACTATATTCTTCACTCATAATTTCTCTTCAAATGCCTATCTAAAGATTAATTACTGAGCCAGATGTGTTAACAAATAAGAAGAGTTGTTGCCCAATAAGAAGAGTACATACTCCCAAAGATCTAGAAGGCAAATGTAAATTGGGAACTAGAGCATCAAGAAGAACAAATTATAGTGACTCTAAGCAAACAAAGGCAGCATGGATCATATGCAGAATCCTTCAAGCCAAAGTCTTAAGTATTCATTTCCCTTAACTAAAAAAAAAAAAAAAAAAACTTTCTTAAAATGTTAACTATTTTAAATGAAAAGAAACACAAAAACATTTCTTTCCCAATCAGGCTCTGATGCAGTGAGTAAAACTGGGGAGCTCTCTACAATTCTTTGAAGAATGACTCAAACAGTTTTCAAGGGTGGTATTTTTTTCATCCACCTGTTGTAAACAGTGGATGCCATGCTTCTTTCTATATGTAAGATGATCCTATAATTTCACACTTCTATTTCTGCCTTACAAAAGTTATTTCTCCCTATGTCCTAGCTTAACCTGTTTTTATTCCTCACCCAAAGAACAAAGGAGGAGAAGTGGAAGGAAACCAGACTCCTTTAAAGAAACAAAGAAGAGTGAATTTTGCTTAATAATGCCCAGTAATTTTAAAGTAAGTATTTAGTCCCCATATTCCCCAACAAGCAGCAATACCTAAAGTGATTTATAAGAAATCCTCCAAAGAAATCTCTGCAAAAGGATCCTTTCCTGAAGCTCTGTGAGGACTGTGACTGGAGGGGCTGGATGCTGCCGACAGCTGGGGGAAAAGAAGACAGAGAGAGGGAAAGAAAAAAAGATCTCAGAATGACAGAACATGAAAGCAGAAAATGTAATGAAAAGAAGAAGTGGTTTTTGTTTTGTCACCTTTAATAAATATAAAGGCAGCCTTTGTAGGAATGAAATTATTAAAACAAATGTGTTATTACATGTCAAGTTTATTCAAAGGCATGTGTTTTTCAGAAAACAAATCTGTGTTTCTGAAACTCAAAAGGAAGTCTTTTATCCAAAAAGGTCGCTATAAGCTGACCCTTGGTTAAGACTTTTGGTATGTCAGATAGAAAAAAGGGGTGGGAGAGAATGCATAATTTTTGAAAAAAAAACTGGTGAAAATGGCTGTGTCCAAGCTATTGGCCAACAATTGTGCAAACTGATCTCAGTTCAGACCCCAAATAATCTAGATGTAATTTTCTTTCCTTCCTGCTTCCTAAGGGCTATCGAGTCCTATCTTTAGTTCCCACACTGTTCATGCAGAGTTGCCTAACTGTCCATGTGGACATGCAGAAGCTGCTGCCTATACTGTAGGAAGAAAAAGAACACAGGGGTCACTTAGTCTAACTATCCACAGAATGCTTTGGGATCTTTGTTCTATTTCCTCTGAATGTATTTGTTTATATTTTACAATCTGTGCCTATAATTTAATTTGAATATAAGATTGGTAAACCACTGAACTCAATAACGTATCATTGAGAGTAGTCTCCCAAGGAAAGAAAATTTCAATGAACCAAGATGTCAGTTTTTATATATATTATTCTATGGCACTAAGCTAACTTATGAACTTTAAAATCTCACAAAAGCTATTTTGCTTGGAACCAACTTTAAATTATTCTCCCTCAGTACAGGATTATAAATCATGCAAGCATGGCCATTATGAGATATGCTGTTTAGGGATGTTCAACCTAAGAGCATACCAAAGTCTGATTAAGTGGAAACAGTTCAATTCATGCTTCCAACATACTATTTTAAGTCCCCTCCCCCCAAAAAAACATCCTCTGCTAATGTAATCTCATTTTTCCTATTATTTTTATTGACTTATTAGATCCATGAGTTTCAGTAAATATTTTATTACTAGTGTAAACAATTAGTCATCCAGGATATTTAACATTAATATAAAAGCTTAGAAATTACCATAAGTCATATTGGTGGTCAAGTATACTGTTTAAGAAATATATGCCCCTCCAAAAAAATATATGCCCAAAGACAATAGGAAGAGACAATGAGAAAGATCATGGAACTACATAGGCAGCTCTAACTGAAAGAACAGGGCAGCACATGTCAGGTCTTTAAACACAATTCATGAAACAGATGAAGGTGCAGCTCCACCAGGAAGATGCTCTACACCCCTGCTCAGCCCAAACATGGGCATGCAGAAGTAGGATGATTTAGATTAATAATTAGTCACCTCACTGGAAAGAATCCAACATTTGCACTTATCTTCACTATTAACTGGGCTTCTCTCGCACACAGCTTTTCTTTTGTACTCAAAGTTAAAACAATAATTTGGATGCTATATAGACTGTATACAAAATGATGAGTTTCTATGAAAGCCCCAAGCTTTCCACAAGGACAGGAGCCTGTCAACCCAATTACTGCCCCCCCCCCAAAGATGCTTATGAAGACAAAGAAAGCACTATTATTTCCCTAAGACATAAGCATGCTGCTACATAATCCAAAAGGCTTATGGTGTTAAAAAGGACCAATTTCCCTTGGGGAAAAAAAAAGTAGTTTAGCTAAAACTTCTACCAGCCTCTTAAACTTGTCACTTCTGTCACATCTATAAATAATTAGCAAAACTAGAATATATTTGATGCCACCAATGAGAAAACTGTGCCTGCAATTAAGTTTCTTATCCTATGGATATGCAGTGCACGCAACCACAGCTCAGGTGGCTGCTACAAAGCTCCCAGGACTGAGCTAACCAGTACTCTTCACCACCTGGTCCTATCTATTCTCGGCACCATTACCAAACATGAATATACACACACTGATGAAAATGCAGCCAGCTGAGAGGAAGGAAGGAAAGATAAGGAAAGGAAAATTTGCTGTCCATGTTACTGTTCAAGGAAAGCAGACAGAGACCTGATGGGATCCTAATGAATGAAGCAGTAGGAATTTTTTGGGGTGGTGGTGAGGGGCCAGTATTGGGCCTTGAACTCAGGGACCTCACACTTTCACTCGGCTTTTTTGCTCAGATCTAGTGCTCTACAACTAGAACTGTATTTCCACTTCCCGGTTTTTGCAAAGTCTTGGGTTTACTTGCTGAGGCTGGCTTGTAACTGATTCTCAGCCTCCAAAGTAACAGGGTTACAAGTGTGAACCACTGATTTCAGCCTGAAAATGTCTCCTGAAATAAGAGTGCCACCCCTCCTTTACTTTTTATTCCATTGAGTAAATTAAAGAACATGGCATAATAGTAGAAAGCAAAGATGTTGGGTGCTGGGGGGTTATGACTGTCATCTTAGCTACTCAGAAGATGAGATCTGCAAGATGCATTCTGAGGCCAGCCAGGACAGAAAAGTTCTCTAAACTCTACTGCCAAAAGAACCAGCAAAAAATTTTGCTCGGCAGAAAGTTTAAGGCCTGAGTTCAAATCCCCATTACAGTCAGAAGAAAATGAAAAGAAAAAAGAGGGAAAGAGAAGGAAGGAAGAAGGGAGGGAGGAAGGGAGGGAAGAAAGGAGAGGAGGGGGAGGGAGGGAGAGAGAAAGTAAGTTTATGAGAAAATAAAGACAAAGGCAATTTTGTTTTTGCAGAGTGTGTGGCGTAATACTAGGGCTTGAACTCAGGGCCTTGCACTTACTATATGCATGCTCTATCATTAGCCCTTTCCAGGATAAATGTTCTAATTTGATTTTGTATTTAAGATTTGTAGCAACACAACTGTGCCATATCTTTACATTTAAATTCTTCAATCACCCAAAAGACCAACTAGCAAATAGCAATGCTATAAATTCACTTCACCATCACTGAAGAAGCGAAGACAGTATCTTGACAGTTTTATGGAATGATAGAACTGAATAGAATCCTGACTCTAGGAGTGACATATAAACATTCTAAACTGTGTTAAATTAAATGTTTCTGGTGATTAAAAAAGCATTGTATAAGAATGACCTCTGAGCTGGGCACCAGTGGCTCATGCCTGTAATCTTAGCTACTCAGGAGACTGAGATCTGAGGATCATGGCTCTAAGTCAGCCCAGGCAGAAAAAGTCCATGAGACTCTTATCTCCAATAAAGTACCCAGAAAACCAGAAGTGAGGCTGTGGCTCAAGTGATAAAACGCTAGCCTTGAGCACAAAGAGGTTCAGGAACTGTACCCAGGCTGAGTTCAAAAGCCTCAGGACCACAAAAACAAAAAGGAAAAAGAAAAAAGGAAGAAAGAAAAGGGGGAAAAAGAAAAGGAGAGGGGTAAGGAAGAATGTCTGATCTCTTATTTCAAATTTTTAAATGTCAATATTAACTATTTTTAAAACTTATGTTTTTTAATATATTTAATGTTACTTACAATGTCTATAACTTTGCCCTTGGCTGTGTCCTTTCCTACTCTGGGCTGTTCTGTTCTTGCAGAACAAACGAACTACAGGAATGCTTAAAACATGTTTTTCAAATGCTGCT